CCTAACAGGAAGAAATGCATGTGGTTTTCCACTGCTCATGGAAAGCACTTTGGAAGACCAGCCCCACCGAGCTAAGCACGCACTCGGAGAGAGCCCAAGGCTCACGGTGATGCCGTGGAGCAGCCGCAGCTGCATACGCAGCAGCCCAGGGGCTTCTCTGGGGAGAAGCAGACAAGGAGAGGCAACGTGCAACTTGCACGCAACGTCCTGCCCAAATCCTAAAGGCAAAAAAAAAAAAATATCTCACTGCCTGTTGAGGCAGGCTTAATATGTTTGTCTGCAGCAGTCTCTGTACGAATGCAGGAGACAGCCCTTCTGTTATCGAGAGCTCTAAGACACACACAGATAAGAGACTGTGGGTTTCCACATGTTACCAAAGTTCAGCCACGCTGACTTTGCGAAGAGGCTTTGCAAGCCATTTAATACCAGTTTAACACCACAGCATCTCTCAACACCCGGTTCCTTCCTGAGCCGCAGGCAATACTGTAAGAACTACGGACTCAGGGCTACACCTCTAGTAGCCTTCAGGTCCTGCAAGTAATTGAGCAACCAGCAACAAAGGCAAGTAGCAAAGTAGATCTCTTGGCCCAAACCTTAACTCAGTATAGCTGCTGCAAGTGACATGTGGCCACAGCAGAACTTGTCACTTTATTTTCTAGATGGCATATGAATTAATTACTGGTAACTTGTGTAGCTTCCTAAACTTTCTAAAGCAAGACCTAGACAAATTTCCATATGAACTTAAAACAGTTTTAAAGAGAGGAAACAATTTAAACACAGAAAGTTTAAATTAAATTTAATGTCTTGCTGGGAGTTCCCTTTATTATGCAAAAAGAAAATCCTTTAAAACCCAATTCACTTTTTGCTGCTGGCTCTTAATGATTTCTTTATTGCTTGGACATGATAAAGCAGCTGGGTCAATCATTCTTCTACATTTTCATACCTCCAAGAACCTAACATTTATTTCCATACAAAATCATTTAATAGAAAAGTGTTTCGTCATCTTGGGAAGAAAAAAAAAAAAATCTAAGGTTTGGACTTGATTTTTTGAGAGTTTCCTTTTAGTCAACATGAGAGCTGGGATTCTGCTTCAGCTGCTTAGGTCATATCTGACCCTCACTGGAGCAGGAGTTCAGAAATAACAAATGTATTGAAAAAGAGGAGCATAATCAAGTATTTGAGACCTGATCAATTCCCTTCTCAACAGATGACAGCACTCAAGATTATATGGCTTGATTTATAGCTATCCAACACCCATACACACACACACACACACACACACAGAGGATGGGACCATATTTCAGTAATAACAGCATTGTTTCAAGCCTCCTCATCTCAGCTTTTCTTGTGCTTTCTCTTGTGCTCCCACCCAAACGTGAGTAAGGAAACTTTGACCGTGTTAGTCTAGAAAGAATCACAGAGGCAAGAAGCAAGACCCGGTGGCAGGATCCATTTCCCTCTCATTCTGTAACATTTGCATCACCTCAGCTTTTTTTAGTCCCACGTATTTTAGGGAAAGCCTCTTAAAAACAACCCTGAGATAAATATAACAAGATAAAATGAACTAACTGAAGACCCCTTCTCTATTTAGTTCTTAGGAAAAGTGCTTATCCTTGGCCCTGGGGATTTGGTAGATGACAGCACCTCTCCTATAGTTTAATCTCAAGGATGCTGTGTAATCCAGTGCCCCTCAGATTAATCTAGCCATTGCTACACTTACGGACGCCAACCTACAGACTACTTACAGATCACCTGCCGCTGCAGAATGCAAGCTGAAGTTTTTTAATTCATGTGTCAGAGAACAAGCTGAGAGCGTGAACTGAAGCTTTTACTCTCCTCCACTTTACACTGATCAGTGCTTCTTTGTGGCTGCAGTTCTGCGGATCCTTAGCATACATGCATAGCCACAGCAAAGCTTAGCACTGTCTTATGTGTTTGCAAGATGCTGTTAATTCACTTCCTTCCTTAGGGATGTGGTTTAGTGGGCATGGTAGTGTTGGGTTGATGGTTGGACTTGATGATCTTAGAGGTCTTTTCCAACCTTAATGATTCTATGATTCCTCCTCGAGTCAAAAAATCTTTTCAAAGTGACTCCACGAGGAGAATGACAAGGTTAAAGCAGTGAGGTAGGCAGGACTCCATGCACGAGCAGCTCCTACACCAGCACGGAAATTAGAGCCCACGCTTCACCTTTCCTAAGTGAGGCCCTAATCAGTAGGCTGAAATGGGGAGCAGGTAACTTCCCACTGCTTTCTGACCCCCTGTCCTTAGCATTTTTTACTGACCATCTTAGTCCTCCTGCTTTCCCCTCTGTTCTGCACGGGGCTTTGTGGACGCTCAGTCCCCGCTTCAGTGCGCGGTGCATCAGTACCTCGTGGTGGATCCCCCTCGGTGGCAAGGCATTTAAGAGGCAGGGCAAATATTCAGCCAGGCAACCCGCTGGCTATTTGGTGACCCAGTGTCTTCATACAGCCTCGTATCAAGTGATACCATAACCAGTCACTCATACGCTGCCCTCTGGGTCAGCAAAACTGTCCCAAACACCCTACCCACCCATCTTCCCAAACTGGGCTGACCAAAATTAGATAGTGTTTGTTGCAATAGTAGCATTGTGGGTCTGAACTCCAAATTCAGACCTGAATCACCTCAAATTCGTTTGCAGCCTAAATATTTGCTAAAAATTATTGTTCTGCATTCAGATTTAGAAAGTAAAAAAGGAAGAAGAGATTAAACCCACCCATTAGAGCTTCCAGGTTTCTACAGCTCTTCCGCCTGCACCTCAGAGAAGAGCTGGCAAAGTACAGCAAATTCAGTGTGTTCACTGAATTTAAAGGCCAAGGACTGATTACTGAAAACTACCTTCAAATGTTTCCAGCCCAAAACTCCATTCCCAGAAGACCTAGAGATTTAAAATGAAACCTGGGAGTGAATAAAGGCAGCCTGCTGGCTGACATGATCTCCCTCCTTGTTAGGCTTACTAGTTTGATTAAGTGCTGTGTTGAGCCAGCTACACTAATTCTAGCTTCAAAAGAAATGAATCTTTGCTAGCCACATGGTCTCCACAGCCACTGTGGCTAGCAGGCTTTCTTCCCAGCAGTCTTCTGATGCAGAAGTGAAAGTCACATTAATGCATCAGGTGTGGGCACAGTTTTAAGTACACCACAAATGTCTCATCTGTGCTCTAGGGCATCTCCTCTGGGTCACAAACCACAGCGTTAAGCAACCTACACATACTTGTTTTCTGGACTGCCTTCATCTTCATCAGAGTCTGTCCCACAAGGATGCACATGGTCCTGCTGATGTTTTAACCCAGTGAAGCAACTATGTGGGTATGCTCTGACTCTCTGTTACGCTTTTCAAAGACAAAAAGAAGTCTTCCATCAGCTGGAAGATGAAAGAAAGGGAGTACAATTTGGAGTAAGATGGCTTATGGGCTTATTCTCTGGTACCCCAAACCTGCTGGCCTTTCACTGATGGATCTTTTTCAAGCAAGAAAAGTCTCTTTCCTTCAAGACCTGGCTGAAGCAAGGTAGTACCCAGTATATTTTAAGTAGTCTACTCACAGGAGACTGTAACCACACAGCTGACATTCTTCTTCACTTTCTCTAGAGAAATCAGCTTGCGGCTCAATTCAGGAGACTAACCTGCATGGCCCATCTCCCTGAAAAGGCCAGATGAGGACAGCTCATCCTCTTCCACCTCTGGTAGTGGCTGAACCCAGCCACCAGGAGCTTCTCTTCCTTTAATAGGAAGAACACGTACTTATAATCAAGCATCAGGACTGTGGATATTAGCTGGATTAAATGGTTTAGTGGGCTAAGGCAGAAGGTGCTATTGAATTAGGGCATCCCTACTCCACAGCATTTAATATATTAACATCCTTTCGGGTACTGTATTGGGAGGCTTGGTACAAAGATTTCACTTCTCTGATGCCAGTTGCAAGTCTGCACAATTCCTCCTTTGATGGCTCAAGTGATGAGGTGTTAACAAGAGGAACCTCGGCACTTAACACTAGGGAGTTTTAGCACTAGGTTCACACCCCCCTCCCTCTCCCTACTCAGCTGAGGGATTTTTCTCATTCCCCACTAATGTTAACAGCAGGTACTTAAAGCAATTAGACATTATCGCCTCTCTGGTCTTTATTACTTCCTAGCTTCCTATCAGCTACTTTGTACGCAATAAAAGAGCTGAATTAACAGGACTGGTGCAGACTATTCTGCTTCCCTTCTTTACTCTGTATGAAAACACTGGGTCATGGAGCCACATGGACAGGCTGTGAGCTGCAGTGCTTTAGACCATTATTGCCAATTGCCATGGTATTTTACAAGGGGAAAAACCACAGGTAGTAAAAGAACAGACATAGGGAGATCATAGAGAAGGTGACGTGGGGAACATGGGTAGACCATAGGGACATAAAGGCTGGAAGGATTTCACAAGTCCAGCAGAACAGCTTGCAGGTGTGCCTATGCTGTGAATTAGCTGCCACAGGGACCTGCAAGTTGCACAGGCAGCCTAGGGACACAGGTATGATGTGTTGCTCCTGTGAAAATAAAGCCCCGTGTCTACTGAGCAGCTCTTGCTTGCCCAGGCATAACCGTTGTAAACTTTTCATCTAGGGATTGCAATAAACTCCTGTGCGCTCTATGTTTGGAGTTCAAAAAGAGGCTTTCCCATACTTGCCCAGCCAGATAAAAGCTCACCCTTTTTCTTCTCTCTCTACCTTAACTCTCCATTAACCCTTAGCTTTAGTACAGAACCTCAGAGAATGATATATTTTCCTCCTATCCCCCCCCACCCCAGTATTTCTAAGCCTCACTTTCTCATTCCCAAGAGGTAAGGGACAAGAGCTTTGAGCTCTGAAATCCTGCTGTCGGTTCTTGCCTGAAAGAGGTAAGTAGGGAAACTGAAGGAAAGCTGAAGAAAGGAGCCTGTCCCTTGTCAGCATTCACCTGTAATGGACGCAAAATGTGGAGTTAAACACCAAAACTAAACCCAGGAACAGAAACGAGTGGGGTACTTACACAGTTTCATCATTCTTAAACTCCAACTCCCCGTAAGTGTCTTCAAAGTCTTCTCCACCTCCTTTCGCTGTCCCTTCTACTGTCCTAAATGGCACTATGACTGTACCCCGAGCACCTGATGTCCTTAGAACTTTGACTTCCATCACACCAATGCTTTCACTGACATGTATAACATCACACTCAAATGTGAAGATGCCAGCATGGTCATCATCCAGTATAGTCACTGTGGCCACACAAGGAGAAGCCAATACGGCCTTTGGGTACGGGGAGTTACTGAGCTCTGGAGGTTCCTCACTCTCCACCACACGGAGGTTACTGAGCCGCACAAAGAAATGCTCATCTTCCTCAAAGATGTCATCATCAATAATTCCCACTGAGAACTCCTTCTGGGTCTCCCCTGATTTCAAGACAACAGTCCCCTCTGTGAACTCATAGTCAGCACCAGCATTGGCAGAGCCATCCTCTGTTTTATAGTCCACATAGATGGTCTTGGACATGTCCCCTCCTTTCCGCACCACTGTCAGGAGAACGGCACCACAGTTCTCAAGACATTGGTAGGAGCACGGATCAAAATAAATTTTGGAGATGAATTCCTCAGGTTCATCTGGCCGCACCTCATGCAAGCTGGTGCTCTTCTTGGCTTGCTCAGCTGCATGCTTCTTCAGAATATTGCCAGCTCCTGTCATCATTCTGGTAGCTTGAATGCGATAAAAGGCTCTGCTCTTTTGCTGATGAGACAAGGCATAGTAGTTAGCCATCTCTACCAGCTGGTCCAAGTCCTTTTCTGGGTGCTTTTGCTTCAGGTCCTTAAGGATCCGGATCATCTCTTTGCGAGATTCATCTACCTCTTCCCCTTCCACAGTCACTAAATTTCCATCCAGAAAGTGGGAGTTCATCATCTTGCCATCCATCTCAATTCCCTTAGGGTGATCACCTTCTGATTCTATGATAATGCCCCTGTGCTTGTCAGTACGGTACTTTTTGTGCATATACTTATAGAAAAGCAGACGTCTGTCTGCTATCCAAGCCAGAAGGACGCAAAGTGGAAAGAAGAAAAGTGTGAGCAGACCTTCCCAGACCTGAACCACACCTGGAGAGAAGACGGCAAGGATCATGTACAACCAGATGTAAGCAAAGATGCTCCATGCAGCTGTGACAAAGAAAACCCTTAGGTGTTTTATCTTTCTGGTTTCCCCGTCAGGGATCACATAGACACAGATGGCAATGATGATAAACATATTGAAAGCAGCGCTGCCAACAATTGTAGATGGTCCGAGGTCTCCAGCTATGAATCCATGCCCACACACTTCTATCAGAGACAGAAGGATCTCAGGAGCAGAGGAGCCCAGAGCCATGAGGGTCAAGTTGGAAACAGTTTCATTCCAAATCCGAATGGTGGTCGTTGTGGTCTCTCCATTGGGTTTCTTAATCGTGATTTCTTTCTCTTGTGATGTAATGACCTCTATAGATGCCATGAAACGATCTGCAATGATGGAGACTCCAAGGAACATGTAGATCAGTGCTACAAAGTATACGATAACACGGGCAATTTTGTCCCCAAGGGATGGATTTTCTGGGTACCATATTGGCAGGATAACACCTTCCTTGCAGTCAAAAGATCCTGAACACGAGCTGTTTTGTACTGAACTGGTTGAGTCTCCCGTCAGGCCAGCATCCACCTGCAAACCATGCAAAAACAGCACAAAAGTAACCAGCCCAAAATGGAGGAAGGCCGAGGTGACAGGCTGCAAGCTTAACCACGCCATACACAAGATGCAACTTCCACTGTGTAGATCCAAAAAGGCCGAGAACCTGAAACAAACAAAACAGAGAGGGGGGAGGGAAGCATGAGAGAAAAGGAAGATGCAACATTTACCCAAACGCACTTCAGTATCTCACCACTGAAGAGTACCGGTAGAGATGCAGGGGTTGTCTCTCTGTCACTTTGAAGAAGGTATTTAGCAGGGACTCTAACAAACTGCAGCATTTACATGCCCAGCAGGTGAAGATCAATTGCTAGAAAAGTAACTCAGAGGAAAAATGTATATATATAATAGCCCACTCCTGACCTCCAACATGTGCAATAGGAGTACTGAGTGCTCAGCTGCCACTGATCGCCTACCGATGCCATGGCGTTCCCCAGCACATAGCACTTCAACCCAGCACAAGAAACCAAATCTAAAGGCTTCCCTGTCTCTCCACCCGGGGGATAAGACAAGTCAAGGAATCCCTAGCAACACAAGAAGCACCATTAAAGGCCAGTGAGCAATCTCCAAATGAAGTCCATTTGTTGGACATAATTCAGTTACAAATTATGGAGTACCTTGGCGGCCAAACCATCCCCACAGCCAGCCCCTCCTAATAGGCTGCAGATTCTCCAGAAGGGTCCTAGGGCTCCCCTGAGCTTCCGAGGCACAAGGCCTCCACGTTAGGAGGTAAAGATGTCAGCCCAGAAATAGGGAAGAGGACTCATGTGCTCGGCAAAGCGCCAAAGGCCATTTTTCACTAGCCTTTCCATTGTGATCTGGACAACTGGATTTTACGTCAATAATCCTGCTTTTTAATGGTCACAGAAACCTACAAAACCACCACAGTTAGAAAAAGTTGTGCTCATGAACCCAGAAGATAGAGCAAAATGCACGTACCCACCAACATTCCCTCTGCATCTCTAAAAAATTGATATATTTTCAAATATCCTCTAAAATGAAAGTAATCTCTAACCTAAAACACCATGCAAAAACAAAGGAACTGATCGATGTATCATGTACATTGGGCATATCACTGCCCAGTAATGTCTTCTACTACTTATGGACTACATCGCTGTAGGGCTTGCACCACTTAAAATTGGATTCTGAACCCTTCACATTGTCATGGATCACACTATTCTCCTTCCTTTATAACAGGTCACTGGAAGAATTTGGTCTCAGGCTTAGCTGACAAATCATGTTTATGAGTCCAGACACAGCCAAGTATCTCACAGGAAGCATCAAACTTAATAGCGGCATTATCTACAGCACTTGGAAGGTTCAAGAGCCTTAATTCCCACTAACTCTCATTGAGGTTTGTCCTGCCAAATCAGTAGGGCTGGGATTCATTTCCCCTACTGTAACTACCTAAATCTTGGGCAGTAAGTTAAATGAAGTCATTTGAGCTCCCTTCGTAGTCAGAGGAAAGAGACAGTCGCTTCCAGGGGACGATCCTTCCTGTCCCACCCTGTTCTGACCCAAAAGATGTATTTAAGACACACACCTCCAGAAGGGATTTTGTCCCTTCCCATCTCTCTCCGTGGTCTATAGAGGGTCCCCAGTCAGCCAATGTAGAGCAGATGCCTAACCTTCAGGTGGTGGCAGTCTGAGGAGATGAACTGGCCCCTGAACCCTTGAGGAGGTCCCTCCCCTCTCCCTTGCACTGTAAATATTTCAGGCAACGTTTTAATGTTACCAGCATTAACAAATGCATCTCGAATGGCTATTTTATCATCATGTTGTGTCGCTCGCCTCTTTCCAAAAGCGGGTGCAGTCTTCCCGATATCAACAAAAACATTTTCAACTTCCAGATAAAAATCTATAAAGACAAGCGAAACGGGAAGGAAAGCGTGAACAAGGACTGCAAATGAACAAACCTGCTCCTGACAAAGCACGGCAGAGGGGAGAGAATTGATCATGCACTATCAGGATCACAAATCCATATCTGACACCCTTGATACGAAAAAACAATACACTTCTTCATGCTGCCTGGACTAATTCAGAAGAGACAGATTCTCCCACATTAGCCTACTTATCTTTTCTCTCCAGTGCCTACTTATCTGCCTGTCTACCCTAGCCCCGGTGCCTGACCGAGCCCCCAGGGATCAGAGGGACCTCAGCCCCAGTGAGAGCTGTCACCCAGCCCCAGCCCCAGCCCCAGCCTTTGAAGCCTCGTCAAAACGCCTCGCTGCCTGCTTAGCTCAGGCTCACAGGGAAGACTGAGCTACCCAGCACATACAACTTGCGTTCAGTTTGACACTCCCATTGTGTCTTCCCTCCCACTCCCCACGGTCTTTCACCAGATCTCTGGCTGCAGGATGTTGGGAAGTCCCTGAGAAAGGACCAGGGAACATGTGCAGAGGGACTATGAGCTGCAAGCCCAAGATCTCTGGGCTGCAAGGTAGATGTGCGCACGTGCGCAGTAAAGATGACGCGTTCCAGGTGCCTCTGACTCAAGGTGTACACAGAGACCGACTGCACAAGCACAGCAGCTCCAAAACCACCCTGGGCACATCAGATCATCCTTTTCCATACTGCGATTGCTGGCAGGTATCCACCAACCTCTTGACACTTCCAGCTCCCAGCTCCTACTTAACTGTACAGCAGCCAGTAGGTGCTGTGTCTTCCAAGACCAGCCATGTAGAAACGGCTGACAGAAAGACAGGAGTAATTTCAAAAACATCTACGTGACTCAAGAACTTAAATTTGGTTTCAAAAATTACTTAAGAGTCTAAGTATCTCTTAAATTCAGAGCCTTGTCTAGGAATAGCACAATAACTAAACTGCCCTCTGGAATAAATCACTGCTACCACCAACCTCCCCCTCTGTGGGACAACCACCTTCTGTAATTAACACTATCTGTCTACCTTCTGTAATGCCGTGATGGTTTCTATTGCTAGCCATTCCTCAACACACTCCAGGACCTTGCCAGTCCTTCTTAAATTTTTAATTTGATTTTAAGCGAAGGGTAATTTTATTATTAGTCCTCAAACTACTCATCTATTATTTCAAAAACAACCTCTACCAGGATAGCCTCTGTTTATGTGTTTGGACCTCCAAATTCAGGCTATGGGTTGTAGACTAAAATCTCAGAATTCGGGAATACTTTTCTTCACTGGTTTTCACTTGCTTTGACAAACATTTTAACGTTAAGCAGAGGTCACAATCGTTTTCTAAAACGATACAATAATGACCTTATCCTGCAATTCTTTGACACAGATAAAACTCCCCAGTGGGATCAACAGGAACTTTGCCCACAGACACACTGTCTAATAAGATCTTAATATGTGTTCATTAACACGAAAAGCATTAACCTAACCCATCTGAAAAACACAGTGAAGCATTCTTACTGTCATCCCCACCCTGGGAACTGGCGCAAAAGTGCTTTACAACATAGAATAAAACTACTACATTTTAAAACTGCTATTGATAAAACATCGAGGTAACAGTTTTAACATTCAGATGACAGAGGACAGAAGAGTTAAAACTCACTCTGTAGCTCTAGGTCAGCAAGGTTGCTTACACAAGGCACAAGTTTGCCCTCAGATATATCTATTCAGCTCCGTCCAGAAATCACTGGAGGGGACCTACGTAGCTCTGGCCTGCCCAGAGTGAAGCAGACACGTCCCCTATCCCATCTCTAAGTAGCAGCACTGATCTCAGCAGGACTAACCCTTCAGCGCGAGTCCTGCCCTGAGGACCGAGCCTCCAGGCGGGCTTGCAGCACAGGCCTGAGCCATTGCTAGTCACCCACGAGCCGTCACGGCGTCACTCCTTCGACGGCAGTGCGACAAAACAGATCCACATCTGGGGCAGAGAGGTGTCATTCCAGCACCGTCGCTGCCCTGGCCCTCTGGGATGCAAACAACAGGAGGCTGCTGCAGCAACATGGAAAGTCAGTTGGGATTGGGTGGTGAGCTTCGGCTTTATACCATGGGGATCAAAATTTCCACTCCTCTTTGCTATCAGACATCATTTTCTCCCCCATTTCTCTGCCCCCCATTGCTATCGCATTGAATACATGCCATAAGGGCAGTGGTACTGAGTGAAGTGTCCCCCATCTGGTAGGATAAGTTCAAAGCACGCAATCAATGCAAAAGAGAGACAAAAAGTTGAAAGCATCCATGCAAGAGAATGAGCTAGTGTTCAACAGCAAGGCTCTGCGTAACAGTTATTTTAGCAGGGGGAATTCCTTCTTCTACAAGAGTTGACAATGGCCACGTGATCCATAAATCCATAAATAGAACTCATAAATAAAAAGCTCAGTTCTTGAAATACTTCTGGAGACAGTCCAGAAAGTAGCATGGACCACGCTTGCCACAATTAAGCCTGCAATAGAAAATAACTTTTAGACAACTATCAAGCTCCTTACATCTTTTATAATAGCTGAGTTTCAGAAGACCGATGGTTTGTCTGCTGTGGACCTACAGCGAGGTAGAAAGCTGGGAAGGCTATACCGATCCCTTATAATTTAGCTTTTTGTATACAGCTGCTCACATGACTCTGAAGGCAAGGATATTTTCAAAAGAAAGCATTCACAACAAGAAATGAAATCAAGACGCAACATAACACAGTGATGGCTGCTAATACGTAACCTCCACATACCAAGTTCCCAAGATCACTGCTCAGTAAATACGAAACCAAAGGCAAACCTTTAAGTCCCTATTAATTTCTTATTTAGGCAAAATTCCCCTCGAACCATCATAAAAACCTTTGGATTTGACCTGCAAATAAGATTAGGTTGTCTGGCACCTCCCTCTCCTTCCCCTCTCCCTCCCACCCCCCAAATAAATCAGACACCCGGCGTACATCTGTGCCAATACGGCCCCTCTCCCCTGACCCTAGGCTGGCCAGGACAGGCTGCTGATTAGATCTGAGCGCGGGGTGAGCCCCGTTCAGGCGTGGGCGCTGCACGAGACGTCTCAAGACAGAGACATCTCAAGATCAAGGGTTTTGTCTACTCGACAAGCATCTGTCCCAGAACAGAGCGGATACAGCGCTGCTATCAGTGTCATCCTATAGCCCCGCTCCGAA